GCATCCGGTACGTAATTGTTCACTCGGTTTCTTGTAAGTCTCGGGTTGCATCTGGATGATGGCTTGAACTCTTTTGTTGATAAGAGTTTATTATGTGTGTTTATAAACATGCGTGATATTGATATGTAATATTTAACTATTTAACTCACTAAGCGTTGGCTTACCATTTAAGTGGCAACGTCTCTCAGGAAAGAAGACGGACAAAAAGAAAGATTCCGTTGTTTGACTTGAAGATTTACCGGGGATCTCGAAGATTTCGATCTTGCTTTTGGGTAAATATTAGCTTGCATATATATATATATATATATAGTCTTGTCTCATATTCTTTTGGCTACTTAATTTGGGTTGTAAGTAAATATCCGTTATATCCGGTTTGGAATCGTGTTTTGGGTGGTTTTATCACTAAAATAGAACGGATATTTCGATGTTTTTCTAGAAATTAATATCCCATATTTTGAGGTTATTTAGTGTTATGCCCAGATTTGTGTGTTTTCAAAGTATTGGCCTCTGGTTCTTCATCGTCTCTGGACCATTGCATGGGCACTGGACCATTGCATGGGCTCTAAGCCATTGCCCTTCTGGTCCAACCATTGCCCCTCTGGTCCTTCATGGCCTCTGGTCCTTCATGGCCTCTGGACCAATTCATCGCCTCTGGTCCTTCATAGTCTCGCCTCTGGTCTAACCATTGCCCATCTGGTCTAACCATTGCCCCTCTGGTCCTTCATGGTCTCTGATCCTTCATGGCCTCTGGACCAATTCATCGCCTCTGGTCCTTCATAGTCTCGCCTCTGGTCCAATCATCGCCCCTCTGGTCCTTCATGCCTCTGGTCCTTCATGCCTCTGGACCTTCATGCCTCTGGTCCTTCATGCCTCTGGTCCTTCATGGCCTCTGGACCAATGCGTCGCCTCTGGACCAATGCATCGCCTCTGAACCAATGCTTCGCCTCTGTTTTTTTTTTCAAACTTAGTTGTTTCAGCAACATTTTCAGATTTTCCATCCTTGGCCCTGATGGTTTTGGCAAAACTTTTAGAATAATTAGGATCATTTTTCGGACCTAATAATCAATAAATTATATTTTATTAGAAATTTTATAAGATTGGTAATTTGGGGTTTTCTCTAGCGTGATGTTACATGATGTAATACCCGTGTTACAAAAGATGCAAGTTAATTGAGCCACTTTTGGCGTAACAATGTTGAGTTGATGGTGTTTTATTGTCTTTAATCCCCTAGGCAACTTATGAGGTCAAAAGGATAGCAAAATCGACAATTTTTGGGCATCTAGTGGGTCCATGCGACCTGGTACGCGACTTGGGTCGCAGCCAAAGTCATGTAACTCACTAGAGTATCATGGAAAAATGAAGTTAGAGGGTGTTGATCCTCTCTCTCAGTGATTTGATGATAATCCTTTTTCACTTATACGTTGTATTTATGTTTCCGTATTTTCAGTTCCAGCGATCTTCACTGAGTATGTTCAGTGATCACTGAGAACTTGCATTGTAAATTTATCAGAGACAACAATACTTCAAGAAGACAACACTCACACCAAAGAACCTTCAG